AGGAGCGCGAGGGAGATCAGAGCAACGTACATTGAATCCAGGAGCTTCTTTGACATGAAGGCACCCGCGTAGACAGTTAAGCATCAGCTAGAAAGGGTGTATTATACTTTACATGCTAATCCAAATGGTTTCTTATCTTGTTGCATTGTGTTTATGCCAAGTCTGGTGATCCATCACCCAGCTCCAGCATAATTCCCTGCACGTATGCACACCTGCATGGGCGCACGCGTGCGCACACACACAGACACACACGCAGAGGCTTTGCTCTTCCCATATTTGCCATCAGCATAGCTGCGCCCTCGGGCGCTCCCCGTGAATCTGCATCGTAGCTTGTTGCCAGGAAAGAGGGAGGAATTGCCACCAGAGTTACCCGAGAGAGGTCGGTCTGCTAATTCCCATGCATCGGAATTTCAGCCCCGAGCTAAGCCTTGCATTTGAAAATCTCCAGCTGCCTTGCTGCTCCCGGCTTTCTGCACCGCTCGGCACAGCCAGCCGCCACCACGACGTATTGAGAGCAGCCGTTCTCCTGTCCGCACGTGAAACGTGCTCCTTTGCCGTGCGTTTTTCATCTTGGTGTTGTTTGCTTTTGAAAATCAGCAGAAATGCTAACGGGGATTTAAGGAATAGCATTTAAGCTGTTTGCGTTTCGAGCTTTGGTGATTGGAAGGTTTTGCACTGAAAAGTTTCAAAGGCCGTTACGCGGCATTTTCAGAAGTGACGTAGATGTCTGAAAACCTCAGTGTCATTGGCAAGGAGGGTGTCTCAGGCGCAAAAACATGTTTGAAAATGTTACCCGAACTGTAAAAGCTGCTCCACTCCTCCCAACCCAAAATTACAGTGAAAATTTAATTTATTTCTCATTGAAATGCAAATCTTTATGCTTGGAATTTTCATTGATATTAGCATGGTTTATGAGAAGAACCCGGGCAGTTTGTATAGGGTTATCATTTGATTTTTGTTAAAAAAAGCAAGAGGGAGAGAGAGAAAGGGTTTTATAGGCTCGTGTCAGTGGCTGCGTAAGAAAGAAAGAGATTCTTGAGGGAAGAAAAAAAGATGCGTATTTTAAATTAGCCCAGTCCCCCGTAGTGCCAGAAACCGAAAGAGCGTAGTTTGGAGAAAAGCGTCGTTTGGAGCAAAGAGTCAGGTGATGACACAAATTCAACAAGAGAAAAAATGAAACTGGCCACAAGCTACCGTCCGTGCCAAATTCCCAAATGTCAAGTGACAGCAGGAGTGGAGACACACAGAATTAGCCATCGAAAATCATTCCTGCGGAGTGAATCCAGAGCACCAGGAATGCTGCAAAAGGCAGTTCGTGCACGCTCTGCTCTTGGCTCCCTGCTTCCCAAGTTGGAGGAACAGTCTTAACATGACTGTGGGTTCTTACCAGCGTAACTGGGAGCAGAATCAGCTCAGTAATTTTAATCTCAGCCCTGTCCTTTTGACACAACGCTGACTATAACCAATCATAATAATAATAAAACCCTTTCTCTCACACACACACAGCTTATTCACAAAGATCGTAATTTTTACCCAAGCAAGTGGAGCCTGGCCCATGCCAAGAATAACACAGGAGTTAACAGGCCTGTAATTCTCACGACTTGGCACGTTCTTAGGTAACACACACACGAGAAGCCAATTAGCAAAAAGCACAACGAGATATCGGTTAGGAGGGACAAACAGGGCAGGCTGGAGTTCATCCGGCCCCCGCCATCCTTTACCTGGGTGCTTCCCACCCTTAGTGTTTTTAGCATCTTTCCAATCCTGCGCGAGGATGAAAAGGGGGCCAGCGAGGGTGGAGAGGCAGGTTTTCCCTCTGCGAGCACCTACGCCCGGCAGCCCTCCGCTCGTCTGCCAGAGGTGGTTTGCCTCCCGCTTCTGCTGACCGAGCAGTCTGCGTGAACGCTTCCTAATCCGCTTCTGGCAAAACCAGGCTGGGGAGCTGAGATGCTCCGAAACAGCCTTGGCCATTGAGGGGGGGATTCGGGCGCCGCAAACCCCTGAACACAGCGCGTGGAGTTTGGGCGTTGAAGCAGACAGGCACCGAGGAGACAGCGTTTATCTGTGGGAGGAACTGGAGTCCCTTGGAGCTCTGTTTGCTCTGGCCCAGTCCGGTCTTTCCTAAACGGGAGCGAAGGCTGTGGTCGCAGAGGAGATCACAGCAAGGACGCTGGTGTAAATGGGAGAAGAATCTGGCCCTCAGCCATTTGCAGGAGACTTTCAGTAAAGCAGGCCCTGGAGGTTATAAATAGGCCCCATGTAAAACGATCATCCTGAGGTTAAATGGTCTCAAACCAAAAACCTCCCGGTAAGAGAAAACCGATCGTTTCTGAAGGGCATGCCAGGAAACATGGGAGGAGAGCGTGCTCAGCACCGTGGCCGAGCGGGTCAGATCCTGCTCTCGTGCTGGCTTCCCACTGCCCAGTGTCAGTGTACTTCAGTTGTGTCAGTCTTGCCTTACCCCGTGCAAATGGGACAGACATTTGCAACCTTCCACAGACCAGATTTCATTCCCATTTCCACTGCTTTGGGAGAAAACATCAAAATTCTGAGTTCACCGCAGTGTGGCTGTGACGAGAATCTGGCCCAGTAGCTGAGCAGGTAGGACAGGCAGACCCTCGTCTAGCATCAGCCAGTGCTGCTTCCCTGGCTTCAGCAGAGCAGAACCGTTTGCTTCTGTTGAGGATTTGGCCCAATACTTCTAGAGTGAGGTCTGGAAAATCTGAGGTTTTGAAATCCCAGCTCTCCTGTCTCCGCAGCAAGACACCAAGCTGTCATTAGGATGGCTTGAAATGGTTCCTTATTACGGGGCACGCGAAGCCAGAGCCTTGCGTGCTTGCTTCATCTCGAGTTTTGTCTTCTAGCTTAAAAAAAAAAAATCAAGTAGCTCTCAAAAGTGAAGCAAGATGTTAAAGGAACTTGCTTCTGCCCGCCTTCGGCTGCTTCTTGGGGCCCCCTTGCTCTGGGGAAGTGGGATGGTGACAGACGCATCCTCCCGGGGGGAACCGGGATAGTCCTCGCAGCCCCCAGTTCTCCACGCGACGCTTTGCCCCTGCCCGTGTTTCAGCAGTGCTTCACGCCGAACCATTTTATTCCCGTTGCAACACAGCAGGACCGCCCACACAGCCGGCTCCCGCGTTCTAGCTTTGTGGTGGGAACATCTTCAACCACTCAAAAGCAATTGTGTGCATTGTCCAGCAACATGTAGGGGCCTTGCGTACTCGAGGACAATTGCAAAGTGATTTTAAATTTGATCTACTCAGTAACAGCGAGCTGTTTTGATTAATGCGCTTCACATCCCTTTGCACAGTCCTCGTATTGCTCCAGCAAAACCAAATTCCCTTGACTTCACAGGGAGAACAGTAAAGGCTGGATCCTTTTGCAAACTCCGTCCTGCCTCTCCCAGCCTTCACCTCTGCCGAACCGTTTGGGAGACATTGTCTTTGCTGGTGAAGAGCTTTCAGATCTGACCTGGAAACTGCTCAGCTTTAACCAGCTTGATTTCCAATCCATTATTTAGAGCCAGTGCCACCTTTTTAACATAGGCCAGTCATCAGCAGAATGCTTCACCATATGCATTTAAAGTAAAATCTCTCTCTCTCTTTTTCTTTTTAAATACACATTTTTAAAGTATTACATTACTTTTAAGAAGCCTCTTGGCATAGGCAGCCAGTGCCCTATTGTTTCCGAAATGCAACGTGGCTGCTCTGAGGTTAAGTCCTGAATTATGGGCCCAGCAAATACACTGAATTGCTGCTTCCTAATCCCTGTCCAGATCGACTTATGGTTTCTTTAAAATATCCGTTTCTTAATGGATAAAAACATTCTACCATGGGCAGAGACTAAATTGTTTCCAAAGGAAGCTAGGCAAGCATTAGTGGGAAGAAAACATATTGTGGGATTGAGCTTCAGCCTCAAAGGAAGGAACACGCTTGAGATGGGTTTCCTGCCTGCTTTCAGGCTCCGCAGGCTTCGGTGCCTATCTTTAAACTGCTTTTCTGCTCCTCTCAATTACGTTCACCCGCTGTGCAGTGGATGTCCCTGAAATGAATCTGGCGTGTAACCGTCAGAGATGAACCACAGGCCAGTGCTGGGCGGGAGCATCCCCCGAGAGGGAGTCCAAGCACCCGCGACCGCTGCTTTTGCCGCTGCCGTGCAGCCGCCTCCATCTCCCAGCCACAGCTCAGGGTGCCAAAGTGCTGCCGTTCCTAGGAAATAGCAGGCGAGCGAAATAGCAGGCGGGCTCGCAACGAGCCCAGCTGAATTTGCCTTTGGCTCCAGGGGATGCCATCCTGCCTTTTGACGTGGGATTTTCGAACGCGCTGGGTCAGGCACGGTGGTCTAGCTGCAGGCTGGGTTGTAAATTCAGCAACTTCCTTTTATGTAGTCGGGGCTTGTTAATTTTTTTTAATACCCTTTGAATACAGGTAAAGAGCAAAGCGCAGGCAGGCCAGAAGGAGTGCCTGCAATCAAGGGAGCGCTTCCCGTTCAGCCCACCCACCCGCTCCAATTAGCACCGTTAACTTATTCATTAGCATTGCGGGATGGAGCGGCAGGGAATGAGCCTGATGCGGTGCGTGCGGGGCAGGGGGATGCGGGCAGAGGAGGGCTCTTGGGAAGAGAGAGGCTGTCGAGGGAGAGGAAGCTGGGAGAGCCTGGCTTGTT